CGCAGAAGGGGGGGGGGGGGGGGGGGGGGAGAGGAACTGATAGAAAACCACTGATGCATCATTCATGTCCAACTTAACCTTAGCTTTATATCTTCTGATGGTGACTACTATTATTCTTTAAAGTATTGATGCTTGGTAAATCACTGTTTACATGTACATTAAGACAGCACATTTACGTGTTGTTTCTGCGATCTAAGCTAAACGTATGGAAATTTTTCTGTGCCAGATGGTAAGAAATCAAAACACTCATAAAAAGGAGTTGAGTCTTCTACTGCATTGCATATATCCTCAACAGGTTGTTAAATAGGAAAAAACAAGGAAAAAGGGATATAGACCAAAAAACTTGAAGATAACAATACACACAAGACAGATGCTGCACAGCAAATAATTCAAACACATGCTTAACTTGAGAATACATTTAATGTCTCAGTTGTTTTAACCTGGTTAATATATTTAATAAATAATGAATATAAACAAAACCTTCAGAATTAAATATTAGCACTCTCTCTGAAATGGAAAAGGATGCCTTATAAGCTTAAATTTAGTCCCTGGGAATTGATATCACATCAGGGTGTTTCCACCTCCCTCACTACTAGTGGCAGGAAAAATTTTTGTTCTGACTGCACTCAGTACTCCATGTCAGGAACAGCTTGCCACCAGCAGCCCTCCTAGGAAACCTGAGTACTATTTAACTCAATTTTTGTCAAGACTGCTATAAAATATAAACATTTACTAGGTGATACCTCTTCCCTTTTAAAACCTGGAAACAGTGAACAATATCTAGGAAAAGATGACCAGGAGGTGAATTCTCTAAACAAAGGTAAGAACTGCAGAATGCCATGAAAAGAAAAATTTACAGATCAAGATTTCTCCTTCCAGTAACATCCATGTCAGATAATCTTCACAGTGGGACCAAGGAAGTGATAAATCATCTACAGGGAAAGGATGATTCCTTTTACTCATATAAAATTCAGAATATTCAAAGTATGCTGTGAAAACACAGGCCACAATGGAGGTTTTCATGTACTGCTTGGAGGAAGTGTAGTCTCACAGTTCCTCCTGGGGAATAATCCTAAACCTACACACAGAGAAAACTAATCAGCTTGCATTGCCCTGAAGAGAACATATGGAGTGGACTGAAAAGCGAGACCATTCACCACAGCCATCAGTATAAAACTTCTTATATCCTTACTATATGTACTGTCAGTAAAAACAGATTATTAATTACCAGAAGCTTACCAAACTTTTATCCTCTGCATAAAGACCTGAGTTGCAGGAAGGAGAGGGGCATTCCAAGCCACATCTTTTAGTTAAAGTGGGTGTAAGAGAGAGATTTCTTCGTAGCAAATTCATCAATTTACTTTCTGCATCAGAGCAAAAGGAGGCCACATTCTGTAAAGGAGAACAGTTTACAATGCAGAATAGTCATTTTTCAAATTGTCTAAGTACTATATGCTCACAAACAAAGTATTTAAGACTTTGTTTTCTCATCATAATCCCACCAGAAGTTTAGTTTCTATCAAACCAGCAACTCAGAAGACTGCTGCACTTCCTGTGGAGAGAAATACCATACCTTCCTTTTATTGTTAACAAGAAAAATATCCTTTTGTATTTAAACTTATTTTTCAGTAAAAAGTGAGAATGCATGACCAAGTGAAGTGAGAATGCTATTTAGAACAGCTAGAAAATTGAAATAATAAATAAATGAAATAAACAGTCTGATACTGAGTATGTTCAGCTAAGCAAGACAGTAAATTTCAATTTTTAAAAGGCTAGAGCCAAACTGTCCACGACAGATTCCTTATTGTCAGGTACAATATTTTTTGCTAGCCAGAGAAGATTGTGGTACATCCTAAAGACAGTGATGGCTGAGCTGAATTAAAAAGAAAAAAAAAAAAATCAAAAGACATTCAAGAGGTGATATGTAGAGCCCTCTAGGAAAAATGCATTAACACCTTAATCCACCTCCCAGAAGAATGTAACACAGCAGTAACTAAATCATTAAACTAAAAATCTACCGATTTACCTCTATTGTACTTCTCAGTTCATTAACCTTCTCTTGAAGATAGGTTTCCTTTGGACTGGCTGAGAATACAGAAAGATCTCCAGCCAAGAGCATAGGAATTTCTGATCTGAATTCAGACTGCCACTGAAGGTTGCTTGCAGAAATGAACGAACAGCGGACAACTATATCTTCAATAGCAAAATGTCTGAGATCTGTCCAGATCTTTACTGCCACTAAATTATAGCTTTCATCAGATAAGTACACCATAGTAGTGAAACCTAAAAGCAAGAAAAAAAGTCTGAATTAAACCTTAAATCTTTAAGTAAAGGTTGATTACTGCAATTTGTATCTATTAAAAAGTTATACACATCTTGAAAGAGAATTGATAAATGTAACATGGCAGCCATGTTTCATGCTTCATTCATATTCTATACTATCTCCCTACCGATTACAGAAAACAACTCAAAGGCTGTGTTCCAGTGCTTAAAAAACAATATTCCTATGGTGCTTTTCCTTTTTATTCAGATTATCCACCTGTCCCTACCCACGAGCTCCAGTGCCTGCGTTCCATTCATTCCGTGACACTGTACACAAAAGAGGGATCTCATGTACACGCACAGTGGTACTTCTGCAGATGCTGAACACAGACATGAGAACCTACATCCACCATTCATGGAAAAAAATAAAGAAAAGCTTCTCTTGAGCTTAGATCCTCCCTTACTAAATTCTTCCTGAGCTAATAAGCAAAGACAGTTTTTCTTCAGGAAAACAGAATTATCTGCCAGCATATCAGAGTGATGGGCTATATTAGCAGGTTTTTACAGGCCTGAGATGCACCTACAACACCAAGATCATTTTGACTTTTAAAATAAAAAATTTGGCACTTATTCAATGGGAGTAGATGAATGTGGTCCACAACATACCTGTTCTGCTAACAGAAACTACAACTCCGACTAAATCAACTTCAGCACATGGTGGCTGAAAAGAAGGATCTGACAAACTGGTGAATTTTAGAGCCTTTCTTGGAAGGAAAATCTGTACCAGCATCTCTTGAGATACCTGAAGAAACACAAAATTTTTTAGTATTTACATCACACTTACATAGACTGTGATACATTTTAATAATATATCTTTATGCACTTAAAGCACTTACTGATAGTTGTAGATACTGAGTTTTCTTTGTTGCTGTTAATTGTATGTTAGTTGAGTCTGATCTTCCTTTGGACTGTGATGTTGACAGCTGGTAGATTCTGTACCGACTGCCTTCCTTTAACAACGAACAAACATCTAGCAGTGGACGCCAGATACTCAGTATCACTCCTAACAATACCAGATTAAGATATATTAGCTGTGCAATTCTAATTTGAAGGCTTTTGAACAAAATAAATCCACAACACTCCCTCCCACCCCAAAGCCCTAAACCAAAACCCAAATAAAACTGGAAGTATTAACATGCAAGCTAGAATGCTGTTGGGAAACTTCAAATCTACCTGCTATGTTGGCCAGTTACCTTGTTTAGATAAAAGTTATTTATAATTTCCCAAGTACTAACCTTTATGTTTTTCTTGCTTTCTGTAGTCTACCACACATAGTTTCCATACAGTAGACACATCTCTTTTGGAACAACCATTTTCTTCCTGTACTGCCGAC